ATGAACTAACAGAACCCAGAAGCCAGGATGACACCTCTCAAACCCTCCCTTCCTTGCCCAATGTGTGCTTTACTTGTCTGCAGTGTAAGACTGCAATATCTGACTAGGTCAGTTCCTTTCTTGTCATTTCTTAAGGAAAAGATGGGGCCTCTAAGGGATGAGCAGGGTCAGAGGTTCATTGCAGGGCTGTATGTGGAAATTCATGAGTCATCCTTCAGTCTCATTTCCAGTTCAAGCAAGAGTATGCTTGAGAATCGTGCAGTGCTGAACTTGCCCTCAGACATTCTTAAGCAAGCCACAACTGTAGCTCTATCCAGCTTGTCCTTCACCATGCCCTGAATGCTGCTGACTGCTCGTGTGCACCATGCTTCCAGATCTCCCAAGGCAAAGCATTAATTGCCAAAATGAAACAACCTAGAAGATGCTAACCAGAGGAAGCATCAGAACAAAACTGACTGGCTGCATAGCTCAGAACAGCAGTAAAAAACCAGAAGTCCCCTGAGGAATCTCTGAATGTGTCACTTTCAAATGAAAGATTGAAATATAATTCATCTATTGCCACATGACACATCAGCTGTGACTTCATTTCCATTACTGTGTCTTTCAGGGACACGTTACTGTGTCTTGTAGGGAAGTCTTGCCTCTATTCACAGAAGTAGTGGCATCAAATGGGATCAATGCTAGTGGTTCCAATAATGTCAAGGACGGGGTTTACCCTAAAAAAAAGATGGCGTTTACCCTAAAAAAAGATTGGACACCTGGAGTGGGGGCAAGGATAAAGAGAGGCTGAATAGCCATTTTGCTGGCTTAGTGTTGTGTGTGAAGTGCACTGGGATGCCCTTCTGCCAGGACGGGTATCTGTCAAAGGAGAACTGTTTGCTATAAAGGCAAATCCCACTGTCCCGGCTGAACGATAAGCACTGTTTGGATGCAGCAGTGTGTGGGTGTCTTTGCTCCCTTCAGCATTCTCACTCAGTCTGAGTGAGACAGTCTCATTATCATTTATGCAGCCTGAGCCATAATTGGGATTGATGTGACCGCTGTTTAATGCAAAGCATTCCTTTCCCCTTGTAGAATAAAAGCACTTTACTTCATTTTGTTCATCAATGTATTGTGCAATTAATTCAGCCCTGCTTATTATATCCTGGGCTTGCATGTCATGCACTCAAGGGACTTAGAAATGTCTTAATGATCTCGTGGATGTGAAAACAATGAGGGCTATGACAGACATTATGCATTTGTACGTCTCTCACACCTATGAGATCTGGGGGCTGGTTGGTTTTTATCTCTGCCTTGTGCTGCTTGTACCTTGTAAATTGTCTCTGTTCCCTTCCCCAGGCTTGATAAAGCAACACAAACATGGAGAGAAAGACAAGCTGGCAAGTTAAAAAAGACCTGCAGGGAGAAGCAGGCAATCCAGGAGACTGGAAACAGGATATGGAGATTTTTGTGACTAGAAGACTCGTCCAGGTGAGTTCAGCTCACTGCAACTAATATCCAGCAATCAGCTGCTTTATGCCAATTGGTGATATGCCTTGTGCAGACTGAGTGAAAGCCTAATATACAGCTGGCTCCCTTCCTGACAGCATAAAAGTGAGGCTAATAAGGCAGAAATGCCTTCCTTTGCATTTTCAGGACACTCTACCCTTGGCGGGTAAGGTGAAGGAATTCCACAGGGAAGTAAAAGAGTTGATACAGTTGCTCCTGCTGTCCTTACCTGGCCCATGGGATTGGAGACAAGCTCACCCCTCATAGTTCTGCCCTTCTCACCCCTCTCTTGGGGTCTGCTCTGAAGGTAACTAAAGGCTGCAGCTGACAGCAGTGTCTCAGTTGTGCCCCTGGCTATGGAGCTGAGAGCAGTGAAGGCACCAGCTCAGCACAAATACATATATTAGCCATGGAGCCTTTCTGAATAAGCAGTGAGGAAGGGCACGTAGAAGTTGCCTGGCTCTACAAACTCCCTTTTAAATCCCAGTGGACAATAGGCAAGCAGAAACATTACCTGGATTGGAGGGGAGACTGAAGGCATTTTGTAATGCTGGTGGGGAGCCTCCTCCTGCAACTTCACTGCAAATGAGGCTATGGCAAGGTGATTTGGGGAGTGGAGAGGGTCACACTAATGTGGTATCTTGACAAGCACACTTGAAAGTCCTTTCTAATCTCAACAGTGAGAAGCTGCTCCTCTGATTTTCTAAAATCTAAGTAGAGCTTTGAGGTATCACTGGGGGACTGCTCTTCAGGATTCACTGACACTCTAGAAAATGAACTGACACACCAGAAGTGGGTTTATGGAGTGCATATGCTCACTCAGTACATTCCAAGAAAACAACAGCCCTCGTATTTTTTCTGATAAAAAGTATGCAAGCAATGTTTTTTCCAGCCTTTATGTAGCAGGGAGTGACTGGCATGGATGTGAACAATTTGGTGTAGCATGGGTTTGAAATTGAAGCACTTTCACACACTGTTGGATTGACAACAGGGTAATTACTGGGGGAGGAAAGGAGGAGAGAGGGTTTCAATAAAACACCCCCAAGCTAAAATGAATGCAGACTCTTACAGACCTGAGACAGAATGATTCCCAAGTGTTTTAATTTGTGCTTCCACTCCTTGTCTCTCTTGCAGTCATAATTTTGAGAACTGCCAGCAACATCCCCAAGATTCAACAGCATTTGCAGAGCAGGCAGCTGCTGAGATGATTATGTCAAATCTGCACGCTGTCCTCTCTTTTCCATGTCTGATTCTCACCCTTGGAGAAGTGATTTAAAATGATGTGTAACCCTTGGACTGGCTGGTAACAACAGTAGCTGTAGAGCAGGAGTTTGTGTGGTACTCTGTCACTCCTCTCTCTTGCATGCTCTGCAATTAGCTTTAAAAATTATTGCACAGAGCCCTGCTATGGCTGGTCTGGGCCCAATCCAAAGTCCTTTCAAGACAATAGAAAATCTTGCAAGAGCTCTGGCTTAAACTCTCTGGGGGCAGTAGAGAACCTGGGCTTGTGTGAATTCCTAATTTGGGTTTCTCAAACAATCAGTTGGAAGAACATATAAATCAAGACTTGCTTCATATTTGTGTCCCTCTCTCATTCAGACCTAATGCCCCCCAAAGGCAGAACTGTCACTGACTGCAGTGTGACTGGGATATACTGGGAAAGAAGGGGAAAGTTGCTGAGCATAACCCAGAGATAGTATCGCTCTGCAGCTGCCATCGTGCCCTTGAGACAGCACAGAGCGGCACTAAAAAGCTTTGCTATGCTCACAAGTGGGTTGGACTTGTTGTACAAATGTTGCCCTGGGCTTTTACATCACAGGCTGCTCTTGCATTCCACAGCTTGGCATGTTATTTACTCAACAGCTTTCCTTTGCTCTGCAATTGCGAAGTCAGTGGTTGATGTGGCTGATACATAATTCAGGCTGATTCTTTTCATGCTGCTGTGGCTGTGCAGCACGTGCCTGGACCACTGCTCACCCTCCCTGCCTCACCTCTGCAACACCACAGCTTCATTCAGAGGGAATGAGGTTTGGTCACGGGCTCTCTTTCTGACACTCCACTGTAAGCAATAAATCCAGTAATCCCATGATTTGGTGGACAATAACTAACTCAATTTTCACTGACCTTACACATTTAACTAATCCCACCAATTAAGAATAATCTGTTCTTTATATTCAGAGTTAATAGCAGAGTGAAAGCTGAAAAAGCAAGAGCGGACAGAGCAAGTCTCCTTTTGGCATCTAAAAGCTCTGGCTCAAAATTCAGACTTGCTGTTTAAGCCTGCTTGTAGTTGGATTTGGATTTGCACCAAAGTCTTGACCAAAACACTGTCCATGATCCTACAAGGATTCAGTGTGTAGTGTAAGGGGCAAGGAATACCTGAATCACCAAGGATAAAGACCCTGCAAAATTTCCTGCTTCCTTTCAGTTGCTCTGTTCTACCCAGATCTCTGCTCCTACCCTGGAAAGCACCACACTGTGATATCAAACCTGCTTTTGACAATGGCTGTGCATGTGGTTTTCATCGGTGTCACAAGAGATGAGGGGCTGAGAGCTCTGCAATTGACTGTGATCAATTAGGAGCCTTTTTTCCCTTTATGCTTCCACTGACAATGGCACTGGCAGCACCACCCACTATTCTGCATCTGGGCTGAGGGAGGGGCTGCATTGCTCTCCCTGGGTTAACAAATTGAATCCTTGCTGCTGTGGCATCGAGCCGGAGCCAAACCACCTTTCTTAACTTGTGCCTTTTGGGCTGAGTGTCATGCTGGAAGCAGAAATCTAAATAGCTACAAGCAACCCTGTGGTAGGTTTTGCCCAAATGCTCCTGTACAAATTCCTCCTTTAGCAGTGCAGGTCAGAACTGATGTTGTATTCACAGCACCTCTCTGTAGCCATGACTGGGCACTCATTATATTAGAGATGTAAAGTATTATGTTAGCAGCCTTTGAGTGAATACACAATGCAGAGTGACACTACAGCATAAACAGGAGTGCAAAATGGAGGTTTGCTTACCTAAATGGAACACAGAGGGGTTTAGGAAGGCTGTGTAAAGAGGGTTCAGCACCAGGATTAATATTTCTGTTCTTAGAGAAAGTGCTGTACATCTCCAGGTTCTTCAATAAGGAAGACTTCAGAGCTGTGTCCCCCCAGAAGTCAGGGTAGTGCAGTGTTAGCAGTAGAAAAGAACATTTTTACCAACTAACACTACTGCAGTTTAACACAGGTAGCCTGTGTTGCTCCAATATATCCCTGAAGTCAGTAATTAAGTATTAATATAAAGAAGTTTTAAACATCTGGATGCCTACAGCAGGCAGAAACTGTTAGCTGCAATTTGAGTGAGGATAGAGGGAAGCTTGGATCCCCACCTTGGGTAGAGAAATTTTTCTATCAAGTAGCACAGTTGCTCTGTGGTTACTTGATATCATCAGTGCTACCTGCTGAACAGCTCCCTTACTGGCTTTTCTGCCACATCCTTGGGTGCAGTCAAAGAAGCAAAAGAGTTGCACAAAGGATATCTATCATATCTTTATTTACATATCATGGAAACACACATGCAACATGTCACAGGATTTACTACAATGGAACAGCCTGTCCCTATCTCCTGTTACCAAAAACTTTATTTTTGGCTCACTAGGAAAACTATCACTTCCCCAGAAAGCTCCTAAAAATAATAATTAAAAATAACAGACTTGGCAGGGTAACTAAATGAGTGAGAGCTGCAGGCTGGGATGTCTTGCCACATCCTTGCAGAAACCAGGTGGTTCTCTGGAAGCAAGAAAGGAAGGAAGGATGGAGTGGGACTGGATGGTCCCAAAGATGACAGGTAGGAAGTGGCAGTGTGTAACAGCTGGGGAATATGTCTAGAGCAGTGAAAAAGGGAGAGAGCAAGAGCTCTGTCAGAGGGTCCTCTCTCATCTAGACAGCCAGGTTCCTGCTGATCCATTTTCCATCTTTGATTCCATCTGGAGGCTACAAGTTTCCTCTCCTCTAGGAACCTCCAATCCTTAAGGGCAATCTGCCTTTATTCTCAAGCAATAATTAAGGGGTAAAGTTTAAGCTCATATCTCCTTTGCCATGAAGAATCTTCCACATCTTAACTCCTTTGAGAGGAAGAGAGGAAACTGCAGAGCCTGTTCCTGCTGGGACCATCAGAACGGGAGTAATGATCATTTCTTACCAACTGGGAGAGGGGGACCCAACTCAGTGGCACGAATGTGCTGAGGGAAGGCAGGGGGAATGCAGTCTGCTATGGAAAAGGCTGAACCCACTCTCTTTATAAATAACATGAGTTTCAGCCCAGCTGGAACCTGGCATGTCCAGAGCCTGCAGCTCCAGTCATTTGCTCAACTTTTTCCTCTAATTCCCATTGCTAGGTATGAACGGTTTGAGCCCAGCTCCCGACCCTCCGGGCAGGACTCCCACCGTCCTAAACATTGATGAAAGATCCCTGCTCTCCGTTGGCCGACTCGGGCTCCACACAGCGCCCTTTCCTCCGGGTCACTCTTCGGTTCCGATGGAATTTGGCGTAACAGCGGAGCCCTGTGGAAAAGACACGCACAAGTGAGGAGGGACCGGGGCTCATACAGCAGGAACACCACACAACTATCCCTCTGACAGACCCTGCTGCACTGGGGCCAGTCCCCGGGCTGTCTCAGATGGGGTGGCAAAGAAATGCCTCACACGGGCAGGGCACTGCTCTCCAGGCCCTGGCATTCTGCTTGGCTCCCCGTTCTGGTTTGGGATTCATTGGTTCAGGCAGGTTTCACTGGCTTCTTGAAATACCAATGAATTATTCCAATTGTTTCCAGTGATTTTATGGAAGCCCTGCTTGGTTTCCCCCTATTACTTCCCATTACTGTCTAAGTGATCTCTCCATTGGGAAATTACTATAGACTTAATGTGCAGCAGCAACGGCTTGGGACCTCCCCTTGCTATTTATTTCCCTGAAGCTTCAAGAGAGGAGGGAAAAGACTTTGAAGTGCTATTACTGGGAGGTCTGATCCAAAGCTCACTGCTCATCTCCTTCAATTTGTCTGGTTTGGACTCAAAGTGCAAGGTTTGAAGGAAGCTATTTGATATAGCATTGATGAATACTAAGGGGAAAACAGGCATTTTATTTGCAAAAACCATGAGTACATATTCTCCCATGGCAGTGGAAGGCAATGGGAGCCTCTAGTCAGGGTAACTAATTGGTTGCTGGCACCAACAGTTATATTTTTGGTGTCTATTGTCTGACTTTGTTACACCAGAATGCATAGCTAGTTGGGCCAGACAGGGGTACAGCCTGTGGGTAAATAATTCTCACAAAAGCCCTGATTTTCACTAGCCCGGGATCTGGACATTGGGCTTGGCAGGAGCTGAAACTGCAGCTCTTTTACCTTCCAGAGCAGGCAGCAGATAGCAACAGTGCCAGCACCCCCAGAGCAGGGCAGGCTGAGGATTTATAGCTTGTATAATGAGACAGCCCAAAACTGTCCTCAGCTGTACTCCAGAGAGCCAGAGGATGTCACAGGTCACAGAGCAGCCTTTTGGAGTGCATGTCCCTGGGCTACACTGGGACCAGCTACCTCAAAGTTGGGTTTGTGCCCCTCATTACCAATACCCCCAGGGCAGTGTGTGGCCTCCCAGAAGGAGAGCACACAAGATCAGAGCTCTGCTCTTATCTAAGCCTCTTGTCTTATCTTATCTGGATCTTCCATCTCTGGGGATCCTTTTAATGCTACAGAGGATGCACATTTGGCATCAACTTATAACTAGCTTAAGGATAAAGCAGGGCCTGGGGCAGCCCTAATTAGGCTTGCAGAAACACTTTTCTAGGCTAATCTATCAGAAGGGCACCTCTGATGAGGACCTTCAGGTGTCACACAACAGACCCAAGGTGAAGACTATCATTTAACATTGCAACTCCAGGGAAGCTGCCTGTTTAATTGGGTAAAAACAGGTGAATGACCTGGTTAAATCACTGGTCACAAAACTTGGCAACCAGAGTTTTGTTCTGGCAGACAGGACCCAGTGCCTGGAGCTGCCTCAACCATGTGCAGCTCCACATGGAGTGCCTTTCAACATCTTTGTAATGCACCTGTCTAGCAAGGGCTGCTGTGGGTTCTTCAGAAACAGCTTTAAGAAACAAATGCCTGTGTCCTTCCCACATCTACTAAATTGCTACAAGCTCAGCTGAAATTATCTTGGGAAAGACATGTTAGGCACAAGGTCATGCAAAACAGTCTGGTTTTATAGCCTGTGATACTTGAAAGCACCATTGAAGTGTTAATGTATTGTGGCTGCTTCTGTTAGTTTTGTAGATATAATTAATTTTTGTTTTCATGAGGGAAAACAAGATATCCTGGATGACTCAACAGCCACACTGTGAGTCAGTGGCAGGGAAAGGCTAAGAGCAGCAGAGCTTAGCTCCTATTTTCACATACAAACCATTATTCCAAGTCAATGCTGTCAACTACAACGGGGGAGAGCAAAGAGCTGGACTCACCTTCAGTGCACATACAGTCATCATAACACTTGTTGTTAAGGCCTCGATTGTGGGGTTTGCAGAGGTGCTCACGCAGGTCACAGCAAGAGCCTATAACACAGGGACAAGGGTCAGCACAGCTCATGTACCCCCTTCCCTGTGGGAGCACTGACACCCCTGACAGCTCCATCACACAGGCATCATCTGTTCCTACAATGGCCTGGAGAGCCCTGCCCTCCCCTTGGTACCACTTCCTATCAGCAGCAGAAATCAGGATACATTTCAAACAATCCCATGTTTGGAGAAATGCCTTTGCCAAGCTGATCCTGACCTGGGAGGCAGTCAAGGTGGTGATCACATGGCTCCCCTTCAGCTGTCACAGTTTCATTTCCACTGCTGGGGCTCTTGCTGCGGCGCTTTTCTATGGAAAAGAAACAGATGCTGACAGAAAATTTCATGCTGGTGTTTTCGTTCTGGAGTATATTGTTCCAGGGTAAAAACAGCCTCAAACTTCTAGAGTTTGAACTCTAAACCTTCATAGTCTAATCTCCTCCCTATTTCTCAACCCTCCATCTATCATTTTTCCTCTGCCCTCAAACTATGCATCCAAAATGAGAAACAATCTGAAACTGAGCATAAAACACAATCAGCATTATGCTGCTTTTCTCCTTCCCCACCACCATGATCTCATGTCCTTCAGCACATCTGGGAACACTAACCATGGGACAAGCCTTACAAGGGTGACTTTTGGGAAAGAGGACAGGGAGGTTTAGCACCTTTCTTTTTAGCAGATGGCCACATTTCTGGTTTGAGATCCTCATAATCTGTCCAGTCAAAGAGTGCCATATCTAGGGTAGGCATCACATCCCCATCTTGCCTGAGGCGGGCCTGCAAACCACAAGAAACCAGACAGACAACAGGTTATAACTCTGGAGCAACACTGAAGTCTTTGCAGATTTTCATGGTGCTTTTAGACATTAAAAAGGCCTTATGATTCCCCCTCCACCCCTGCCTTGTCCATCGGGGATTCTTGGCATCTCATTTTCAAAAGGGAAGAGCTTTCCCTTGCTGCAGCTGAAGCCAAGAGGGAAGTTTCCACTGCTTCTATGTGAGGACAAAAAGCGAGCAAGGAGTGTTAGGATATGGTGGCTCTGCAGCCAAGGGCTCTCTGGTCCGTGAAGCTCAAGGGACATGGACAGATGAGGGACAGACAGGGCTTGGAGGGACAGAGCAGTTACCAGTTCTACCTGTGACCGTGGTGAGGTGGCTGGAAGAACAGGAGGCTCTTCCGTGGAAACAGCTTGGTCCAGGGCAGTGATGAGGAGCACGGTGGGAGTCAGACTTGTAGCTTCCTCTGCCTGGAGGTTCTGAAACTGTTCTTCAAAGCTTTCAGGTTTCTTGTACAGGGAGCTTGGCCCAGCATCAGGAGTCTTCCCTGCAGAGGGCAACAGACACAGCAGCATTGGCTTTCTCATCCCTTTTCTCTCGGTGCCATAGGTTTGAGCCAAAGGAATTCAGATTTCATCCATCCACAACCCTGAGCTGCTCTTTAGGCCAGTGCAAAACAGAGTACTGAGCTAATAAAGTGATAGATCAGGTCCAGAGTATATGCAGCTTGACTTTCATACATTTAAGACATATGTAATCACACCTTCTTGAAGGCATGTCTATCTCTTGCTTAAGAAGAAAAACATGTCTTCTTCTGGTCTCAAGAGTACAAAATGTACCTGTTTCACCATTTTTAAACTAACAGATTAAGCTGCTGCAAATACCTGTGAATATGTTCTTATTTGATTTTAGTAGTGAGTTATTTTAGCTCCTAAATTGAAATTCCTATCTTCACAGGCTTATCCCTGTTTTTCATAACTATTAATTTAAATATAGACCTTAAGTTAAACCCAAGAAACAAGACCTGTTTGTAGTCTGCAAATATTGCTTCAAACCAGCTTTGTTGCATACTCCTCTTTATTGCTTAACATGAGCCGTTTAGTCAGTCCCCTGAGAAAACAAGAGAGCTCTTCTTACTGAGGTAGGGAGGAGTGATAGCTGGAACTCAGGGATGTGACACCCAGCTTGTCACATAGTGTAGACTGACATAAATTGCCTGGCTTTAACCGAACTCAAGATTTACCACACTGAGCAGAGCATACCACAGAGACACACACCCACCACCTGACCTGCAAAGGAAAGCAGTCCCAGCCAAAACCAAACAACATTTCAAAGTCATTCGTGCAATTTCACATGGGCAAAATTTATATTTTTTTTTAGTTCAGCATAAACATAGAAGAATACAAGCTCTGATGAGAAGAAACTGGTCTTCAAGTGAAATGGGGGGGTTGTATTATTTCTAGTTCTGGTCGTGTTTTGAAGTCAGTGGAGAGACTGAGCACGGCCTGGACATGTTTGAACCATTTACTAAAAAAGAAAAATTAAAAAAACAACAAAGCAGGCCACCCCAAAACAACCCCTCAAGTCCCAGGGACTCTCTGAGCTGCCCCTGTGAGGCAAACCAGGTCATTTTCACAAAATTACAGCCAGCACTAAAACCCTCTGGTTCTGGAGTTCTCCTTTTTTCTTGTGCCTCTTTTGTCTGGCAGATTTCTCCCCAGAGCAGGCACACACCCCACACCCTCCACACAGCCATGTGGCTCAGCCACAGCTGCACATCCTTGCCCTCACACCAGTGACACTCATTCCCAGTGCCCCACCAGCCCCTGGAGCTCAAATACCTCGGTGGTGTTTCAGCCTGTCCCTGCGGCTGTTCCGCCGGTGCTCCCGGTTCTGCTTCTTCCCCCTCTCAGAGCCCGGGGACTGGTTCTCCCTCTCAGGATATGGCAACTCAAAGCCCAGGAACACATCCTTGTTCTGTTTCAGGGCTGCTGGCTGTCCCTCTGTCACCAGCTCCTCCACAGCTGATGCTCCGCTGCCCATTCTGAGGGTCTCTTCCCCGGCCAGTCGCCCTCTCGAAGGCATGGCATGGACCCTCTCCTTCTTGGCCAGGCCATGCTTGTGGCGGTGCCCAATTTTGGGCTGCTGCAGCCACATCTCTTGGTTTTGAAGGTGGTTGTTGCTCTCTGGAACATTTCTGAGCTTTGTGCCAGGGTTCAGGGAAACTGCAAGACTGATGTCAGAAAGAACCAGCGCGCACAGGAAGAGGAAAGGAGAGAAAAAGGTGGAAGAAGTTGCCATAATCCTGGGTGCTCTGCCTCACCTGCAATTAAAAAAAGAAAAAAAAAGAAAAAAATAAGCAACCAACGTTTAGGAAGGGTAAAGGCCATCAAGATTCAGTCCTAGGACACTTAGATGAAAAACACTATTATATCCAGAGCTGGAAGTGAGTTATTCCCTCCTTGGTTACCCTTCTCTCCCAGCCCTGGCTACAGCAGCTGAGACACACGTGCAGGGCCTGCAGGGCTGAGAGGTCCCAGTTTCATGTGCAAATGAGGCCATCAATCAGCAGGACATTTCCCTTTGATTCCTCACGAGCCCCCCTACCCTCCCATTCACGGCCCACCATCTGAGGGGCTGGGGGGGGCTGGCTCCTGCTGGCCACAGTCCCTGAGCCCAGGCACAGCATTAGCTGTCTGGCCAGGGCTGTTTGCTGCCAGGTTGGCATCCTGGGCCTGGCTGGCACTGGCCCCTCCTCACAGCTGGTTTCCTTGCAATGAAGATGTCAAGAGGAACAAAACTGGGGGCAGATGGTGGCCTCGCAGGACCAGCAACAGCCCTGAGCAGCTCAAGCCAAAGACATTCACACACACTCACACACTGCTTCAGGGTGGCTGAAATTGGTCAAGGGAAGAAAAAGCGCTGAAAATTTTGTGCTGATACCTCATGAAATAGCAGAGAAATAAATCTGCTGTCAGCAGAGCAGGGGATGCTGGTCTAAAGATCAAGAGGCAGGGAGGCAGACTGAGGTTTCTCTAGTTTGTCCCACTTTCCCTCCTTGACCCTGCACAGGTCACACTTCACCCCACCAGACAAGCCTGTCACTGGGAGGGTAATTTAAAGTCCAAAGAATATTGAGACCAAGTCCCTCAGCACTGTGTCTGCAGACTGTTCTCACTGTCATATTTTTGAAGGTCTTCCTTCATCCCTGTGTTTGTGTTACAAGACAGGGCTTTGGGACATTGCACAAGTCAGAGCATTCTCTAATTAAGTCATTCTCCTCTGTTATTTCCAACAGAAAGGGGAAAGGGATTTGCAGCCTTTCCAATGCAGCCTTTTGCTTTGGGGCAGCTTTCTCAGACCGTCCCTCTCACTCTGGGCAGCAGGAAGACATGCTTAAAGCCAAAGTTCCCTGCAACACTGACTGCCAAAAAACCAGGCACATGCTTACACTTGAGAAATACTGTCAGAGTTACAGCCACGGTTTTTCACTCAACCTCATCCCCTTTCTTCCTGCACCCCAGTCTCAGCTGCACCTGATTTCCATCTGTTCACCAGGTGAACCACTTTGCTGCTTAACTGATGGTTTGCACTCCCTCTCCAGGTGCTTGGCTATTTGTTACCTGCCCTTCCCAGGTGACAATGGCTGGTCAACCTCTGAGGCCAATCTCTGAGCCTTTTTGTGGAGCTGACAGGAGACACCCTAAGAATAGCCTGGGCTCTTCCTTTGCACCTCTGAGATAGGTGTGGAGTGTTTTGAGTCTTTTGTGAGTGAAAGCACTGCCATGATAGCAGCCCCAGCCTCAGAGAACGTCTTGTGAGTTTAGAGGGAGATGCCTTTATCCTATTAACTGAAAAAAAGCCTGCTCACACATTCACCAGCCAATTCTGCCTTTCCAAGATTCCTCTCTTGTTGCTCAGAGCCTGGGAGCAAGTTTTCAGTTCAGCCCTCCCCTGGAAAGAGGTAGGCAGGACAGGGGCCTTTTCTTTATGCAGTGTCCAAAAAGCAGGTTCTTCTACTGGCCACAAAGGACAACAAACTGCTGCTTGATTTAGGAGGTGCTGGGAAGCTCATTTGCTGAAGGCATAACACTATGAAATAGTATTTTATTGGCAGCTACCTGGAACAAAGGAAAACCAGACTGACAGCTAAATCTATTAACAAAGCACATCAAGTCCTGCTTCAAAACCAATGGAAAAAACAGCAACCCAGCAACATGCAGGCTCTGCATGGGGTCATTTGTTTTTCCCCAGACCATGGGGTCTTTGTTTTTCTTCCTAGGATTTTCTCTTTAAAAACCAGAGTAAACCAGCTGGATTAAGGCATCACTCAGAACAACTCAAAGACCCAGAAAGAGCATCTTACCTTTTCATCTGCAGGCAAAATACCAAGAGGAGAGAACAAGTGCAAAGAGAGCGTGAGGGTGTCTCCAATCTCGCTCTCACAGACATGGGCCCTTTGATGGTGAACCTGACAGACACAAGCTGCACATTCTGGTTTTCAGCAGGAGCTTGGAGGCAGCTTAATGCTGCAGGGCAGTTAAACAGAAGGTCTGCTTCCAAGTGTAGGGGGCATTTATTTAAGCTGCCCAGCTGTCTTGTTGGCATGACACGGGATGAAAGTGCAGCTAGAGCACACGGATTGCCTCATCTTTGCACTGGCAGAGGGGCAGGTTGACATGCTGTGTTACTGTCACTGGGAATCTTGCATTAATAATGCAGACAAATACCTGTATTACACTGTTGTCAGGGGAGATCTAAGCTGTTTGCTAAACCAAACTGGTGCATGGATAAGTTTGGGTACCTTGGGTTAATGCAACACTGCTGTGCTAGAGGCAAATGAGTTTCAGCCCTCTCCTTAATCCCTTTTTTCCATGCCGTGATCTACCTTTAACCTCAGAAACCTCTTCCTACCTCCTTCATTTTTCTTATCCTACCAAAGCTGTAAAATTCACACTTCCAGACGCAGCTAGATAACACAACTGCATCCCTAGTTCTCAGTGCTCACTTAATGTCTGAGCACCAAAGTTAACTTCACCCTCTCCTCTGGCAGGACCACCTAGCCCTGGGCTTGCTGATGTAGGTGACAGCAAGGCTCTCACACTGTGGTGCACCTTTTCTGCAAAGGCGAAATTCTGCCAGGCAGAAAGAAGCCTGGCCTTGTAAGGAGATGCCTTTCCTAAATTGCTATAAACAAAGAGACACGTTACAACAAGCCCAGAACCCATCCTATTCTTAGGGTTCATATATTAGTAAAGGACATAGCTGAAGTACTTGCTGAAGTTCTTTATACCAGACCTACATTCCCCTTTGCTCCACCCCATGCCTGCACTTCTTTTATAGACCCTCAGGATTACAAGCCACCTGAGGCAGCAAATCTGCCTTCTCACAGGAACACCTGTACAGCAAAGATAAGGCCTTAGAGCTGCCCAGGGTGCAGGCTCAGGACTGAGTTGCAGTGCTGTCTCAGCCACTATTTCTGATCCATTTTGGGTCTGTAGTGGATGGTTATAATCCTGTAAGGGAAATTAGGGATTTTTTTACATATTGCATAACTTTCCCTGTGGGAAGTCTCTTTCTCTGGACTCACTGATACCATTGCTATTCCTCTGCCCTCTGCTCATAATCCTGCAAGGCAGCCATGGACTGAGTAGGTACAAAGAAACTCAGGCATGTTTTCCTCCTATAAAAATACCGTTGTGTCACCTTGGCTCTGAAATAGGCTCTGAAACTGCCCCTGCTGCATTTGTTTTGTATTTCACAAAGCAGCAACATCAGATGATCCACCTTCATTCACGTATCTCACTTAAAGCGTTATACCTGACAGCCATAGCTTTAACTTCTCACATATGTTCTTCATGTCACAGCCAAGACGAACAAAACCCTTGAACTGAGAGACTGTCAAGATCCTTTAGCACCCCAGACTGCAAATGATGCAGTTTGTATGCTCAGGGGCTGAACCAAGCTAGACCCAAGCACGTATGCTGGGCCAGATTTCTTTTTGGCTCTGATAAGCTCAGTCTTTGGCAGACGTGCATAAAGATTTCCTGGACTCCAGACAACCCCAAGCTGCAGCAATAGACTAAGTGTGTGTGCATCTACATGGGTGTTGTGTGTATGTGCCTGTGTGGCAGGGATGATAGACAATAAACCCGGCTTCGTGTGCCAGGCTGCCTGTAAATAAGAAGCCAAAGGGTGATGGATGGGCTTGGGAAGGCCTGGAGCAGAATGGACGGGGTAGGCTCTATGGTAGCTGACATGCAGAGAGCTGGCTGGAGCCAGGAGGATGGCATTGTGCAGATAAATGAGATTTCACTTCCCTGCTGGGTCTCTTTCCATCTGTTTTTCTGTTTCTGGAGGCAAATGCTGGGAAGCTTCATAAACAATCTGCCAAGAGACCTTCCCATTTCTAAAGGCTCCCTCCCAGTTTTGTAGGGTCCCCCAAAGCAGGCAGGTAATCTTACATTCACCCTTCTCTTTTCCTCCCCAGGGCAAAAGTAGTAACACTTTTATTCTCTCCAACACTTTTTGCATACTCAATTTATAGAGAATTTTTTTTTTCTCTGCTGGTACAGACATCGTTGGGATGTCAGAACTGCAGAATTCCCTGCTCACAGATCTCCAGTCCTTTTGGGTTCCTCTTCAGAGCTGGCCTCCTTTCTTAGGTTTCCTGTATCTATTGTCACCTTTCCTCCTTACTTTGCCTTTCATATTTACCTGACTCCGCAGTTTCTTTGTCCCTCATTACTGTGGTGTGAGTAACCCTCTGCTGATATTCAGGTTACTTGAATATTGTCCCCACCCTTAGAAATATCTACTTTCCTTTGCCTGTGTTGTTTTCCCTCCCTCCCTGCCATCCCCAAACAGCACTCCATCCTAGAAAGGGGCCAATTCACTAACACACTATTGGCACAAGAGACAGAACAGAGAGATTCAGGTTTGCAGGGGGTTAAGGGGTAGCTGTAATTGCCCTTGTGCCTTCACTTAACATCTCCCTGGGGCCATTCCTATCCATGACCACTTGAAATGTGATTCACTCAACATCAGTTGAAGGGCTGGAGCTGGGACTCCCCTCACTGGTCAGCTCTGGCTCTCTGCCCTCCTAATCAGGACAGAAGTGACTTGTTCACACAGCACGGCCCAGGGAACTCCCTCTCCTGCAGCTCAGGCTTGTGAGCCAGTCACTAAGTCACTGCTGAGCTCCAGCACCCTGGCTCTGACGGACACTGGAAACCCTCAGGTGCCTCTCACCTTCAACCACAGCCGTGCCACCCCTTCTCCTGAGCCTCTTCCCGACCTGCCCTGAGAGCTTCCCAGCACAACATCCTCCAGGGACAGAGCAGCCCAGCAAGCCACTGCATTGAAGGGGAAGAGGGGCACATGAATGAATATGCAGTACCCTCTGCTCTGCTTCCTCTGGGACTCCAAGGAGTGGCTGACATAGCCATCACAGGCGACCTGCTATCAAACAGAGTCTACTCTACCCAATAATGAGATTAAAATAGCAATGAGCCTGAGATTAGCATCCAAGATATAGTCGCTGGCTGTCAGCACGGCAGAGAAGACTCTCCAGTTTCATGCACAATGCCTGGTGACAAATGGGACACAATCAATAGCAAAGGTCATTGCTCACCCGGCCGGAAAGCCCCTGCCAGTGTGACAGGGAAGAATGGGGGCAGATTTGCCCTGATCTTCTCTGGGGGGAGACGTGGATGTGTCCCGACTGGCAGAACAGTTGGGCTGTGCTTTCAACATTTTTCCTTGCATGACATTCTCACTTTGAACCAAACGTGTAGAATTAATACCTCTTCCTGCAAGGGAGAGGAGATGGGAATACAAAACCACTTCCATTAAACCCTCCAGTTGACGGAAGACTTCAGGTGTGAATTGGATAAGTGTCACTTAAATCCTACGTGATGAATTACCAGCTGTAATAAGCCATTAACTGGTGCCAAATTGATTTAATTCAGAAATGAGATCTCACTTTTATCAACAGAGGAAGAGCAGAGAACAACCCGCGGGTGCCCAGGGGCTCGGTGCCTGGCAGCGCACGGCTCTGCAAGTACAATGACTCCGTGGGAAAAGCTTCCTTCGCCCCTCGGCAGCTCTGGCCGGAGCCGGGACATGCCCGTGGCGTGTGCGAGGGGCTCAGCCCCCGCGAGAGGGACGGTGCCTCTGTCCGAGGCGACTTCGCTCCCAGGGAAGGGCAGAGCCATCTCGGGAGGGGGCTTGCAGGACTCCCCGAAGTAGCAGCGACCCTGCGGGGCGCACGGCGCTGCACCGGGCGCTGAGGGACCGGGCGGGAGAGCCCGAAGCCCGCTCCCGGCACGGCGACAATAGGGCTGGCCAGAGGCACCGCGCCCCGGCACTGGCGCTGTCCGGGATCGGTGCTCGCTCGCACCGCCGGGTGATGCCGCCGCGACTGGGGCACCGCGCGCGTCCCGGCGGCGGCAGCACCGGCGGTCCCCGAAAACCCCGCTCTTTGTCTCCTCCGGGGCGCACGGAAAGTGGGAAAGTGCCCCCGCACCGCTTCGCAGCCCCTGCGAAGGCAGAGGGGAATCGGCTCGGCGGAGCATCCCCCGCCGGCCCCGGGGCTTGGGGAGCGCGGCGCGGGCAGCGCTGCCTTACCTGTCCGCAGGTCCGGGGCTGGCGGAGCCCGGCAGGCAGGGCAGGGCAGGGCAGGGCAGGGCTGTGCGAGCGGCGGAGGGGAGGCAGTTCTGCCGGGGGCAGCGGGTGTTCAAACCCGAGAGCAGGAGGAGCAGGAGCAAGAGGAGGAGGAGACAGGGGGAAGGCAGTGGGGGAATGTGGAGAGGAACCGGGGACGCCGGGAATCCCGGGGGACTGGGGTGCATGGTGCGGGAGGAGGTGGGGCTGGGAGGGGCTCCGGGCGTGCGGGGGGCTGCGGGAGGGTGCAGGGGGGGCTGTAGGGGATGCAGGGCGCGGGGGTGCCCAGCGCCGAGGAGGAGGAGGTGCGGGAGCGCAGGGTGCTGGTGGCAGCAGCGGTGCCTGCCCCGGGCACGGACGGGGCAGACAAAGGACGGAGACAAAGGCGGGGCAGCCCCGGGGCCGGGGGGGCGAGGGGGGCGGGGGGGGGCGCGGCGGGCGGGCCCCGCTCACCTGCGCGGCGGGGCGGGCTCCGCGCCCCCGCTCCCCGCAGGGGCTCCCCGGCGTTACGGCCGCGGAGCGGGTTAGCGACCCAGCGGGGGCGCAGCGTCCCCCCCGCTCCCCGCCCCGGCCCCGCCGTGCCGAGGGAGCCGCGGGGTCGGACGGGGGGCGCCGGGACCCGCGGGGGTCTCGGGGGCAGCGGCGGCCCCGCGCCCGCTCCTCCCGCCCGCTGGGGGGCGCTCGGCACAAGTGCGTGACGTCACCCGCGCGCCGCCACCGCTCCCTCCGCCCGTTTCTCTCCCGCCCAGCGCGGAGGGAGCGGTACGGACTGAGGGGACAGCAGGGACAGAGGGGCCGGTACGGAGCGGGAGGACAGCGGGGACAGGGTGGACAGCGGGGCCGGTACAGAGCGGGGGGACAGCGGGGACAGGGGGGCAGCAGGGGGACAGTGGGGACAGGGGGCCGGTACGGACCGGGGGGGACAGCGG